CTGGAACTGCCTTTGGATACTGTCAGATTTCATGTTGAACTGGCCAGAGTAGTCATAGGGAAGGCCACATGAGCATAGTCAGTGACTGTCACCTGATCATAAAATGAGCTTTAATTGAATCCGAGAGTAAAACACTCTCAAGATGTCAGAATGCTACCTGTGAGAGCCGAAGTAAATCTGTTTCCTCATGTATGAGTTTGTGCTTCATTGGAAGAGTGAGAAATGTTCCATTTATGGATAGTAAACAGGGCACTATCAGCCAAAAGTGGGCCAGTGTCATTTTTTGACCCACCTTGCATTGAAGAATGGGGCTGGATGCAGGATTTCTAAAAGTTAAAGAGTCAATCAACTAGAATTAGAGTTTTTATTACATATAGATAGTTTTGGGAATTGTTACTTTTTGCTTTTCCATGAGTTGTAGCAGATATCTTTGGATTTCCCCACATCTGTAAGATAATTTAGATTTACTAACATCTCTCTCCCCATTATCTGTACTCTGATAAGTTATTCAAAACTGTTTGGTCCTCAGTTATCTTTCCTAATGTGAGGGGACTGAAATGGCATAAACAATTTTAAATTTTCCTCTCTACAGAGATTTATTACAGCCTCCTTCTATGTCCTGGTTGATGAAGTGATTTTTTTTTTTTATCGTGGTCAAATGTACATAACCTAGAGTTTACGTTTTAAACATTTTTAAGTGTACAGTTCAGTGGTATTAAGTACATTCACAGTGTTGTGATAAAGATAATTTACAGTGAAGGAAGCTAAGAGCTATGTAAGAATTCACATAAAACTTTGTGTCAGAAGCTGTGCTAGCCCCCAAAATATACATGTGTAGGAAATATTTATGTGGCTGGGTAAAATTTTTATGATTTTGTGTCCTCCTAGTGACTATAATAAAGAATAATTGGAAAATAAAGTGATGCTATGTATGTATTATATATGGCTATATTTGGTAGTTCACATATGCATATGGTTACACATAGCAAAATTCATCCTTAACATTCATAGGCTTAATAGTCATGTTTCAGAGTATTTTCCAGCATCTCTAAGGTCCATTTTATATATTTCTGATTTTGTATGGTACGGATATGAGTAGGGCTGTACAGATATGAGTAGGGCTGTGAGGACATAAGCCCAGCAAGCCATCCAGCACGTGCCACTCAGAGAGGCTTTTGGTTCTTTTTGTGTTTCCAGATAAGTATATCTCCAACAGTAATAAAGACTTTTGGATGTTGACACCTAAAAGAGCTAGAAAAAGAACAAAGTTCAAAGCTAGTAGAAAGAGGGAACTAATAAAGATTAGAGCAGAGATAAATGAAATAGAGACCAAACAAACAAACAAAAAAACCAGAAGAAAATATCAATGAAACCAACATCTGGTTCATTGAAAAGATAAACAAAATCGACAAACCTTTAGTCAGACTCATCAAGAAAAAAAGAGAGGACTCAAAATCAGAAACGAAGGAGGAAAAATCACAACTGACACTACAGAAAAACAAAAGATTCTAAGAGAATATCATGAAAAATTATATGCCAACAGATTAAACAACCTAGAAGACATGGATAAATTTCTAGAAACATACAATCTAAAACTGAATCAGGAAGAACTAGAAAAGTTGAACAGACTGATTACTAGTAATGAGATTGAATCAGTAATCAAAAAACTTGAAAGTAAATGTAAACTAAACAAAATGAAATAAGATAAAAATTCAGGTCCTCCCTCACACTGGTCTCATCTTAAGTGCTCAGTAGCTGCATATGACTAGTGGTTATCATATTGGACAGCAGAGGTATAGAACATTAGCATCATCAGAAAGTTCTCTGGGACAGTGCTGTTTTAGAGTATTTCTCTCTGACCCAGCGGCAGTGGAGAGTCCAGTGTCTTGTCTTATCTTGGGGTTGAAGCTCAACTGACTCTCGGGTGGAACTTGGCTGTCTCACTTCTCTGAGGCCTTTGGGTTGGATTACAGCTGCAGGTCAGCTTCCTGCAGGACTAACCTGCTCCCTCTACAGAAGGATTTGAGGGTGGCGTAGAAAAGACTCGCCAGTCCTGGGTAAGAGGGGATAGTCTGTTTTCTTGCTTCTTCAGGTTTTTGATGGAATTCAGTTCTTTAAGGTTGTACATCTGAAGTCCCTATTTTTTTTTTTTAAGATTTATTTATTTGGCAGAGAGAGAGAGAGAGAGCACAAGCAGGGGGAGCGGCAGGCAGAGGGAGAAGGGAGAAGGAGGCTCTTTACTGAGCAGGGAGCCCGACATGGGACTCCATCCGAGGACCCTTAACGAAGGCAGACGCTTAACGACTGAGCCATCCAGGCGCCCTGAAGTCCCTATTTTTTTACTGGCTTTCAGCTCAGGGCTGTTACAGTTTTTAGAGGATGCCCACATTCCTTAGCTCCTTGCTCTCTTTCTCCATACTCAAAGCCAATCAAGGCAGGTTGAATCCCTTTCACAATTCACATGTCTCTTGCATCTTCTTCCATTACATCCCTCTGATGTTAGCTGCGAAAGGTTGTCTGCACATAAAGCCCAGTAATTAGATTAGGACTACCCTGTTAATCCAGGATAATCTCTCAATCTCAGAATCCATAACTTTATTTTATTTTTTTTCTAATATTTTATTTATTTATTTGTCAGAGAGAGAGAGAGAGAGAGAGAGATAGAGAGGCAGGCAGAGGGAAATGCAGACTCCCTGCTGAGCAAGGAGCCCAATTCAGGACCCGATCCTAGGACCCTGGGATCATTACCTGAGCCGAAGGCAGGCGCTTAACTGACTGAGCCACCCAGGCGTCTCAGGAATCCATAACTTTTTACATCTGTGAAGTTTGCTTTGCATATAAGTAACCTATTAGGGCATAGACATATTTGGAAAGGGTGTTACTTGGTTTGCCACTTGCCTCCAGATTAATTCTTTGCATGTTATTAAGCAAAAATAGCTTATTTGATTTGTAGCTTATTTGAAGAAGATAATTTCTATCTTTGTGTAAATAGTATTAGTAATTTTCTTTGGAGACCAAACATCAGGGGAAGACAGGAAGCTTCAGGAAAGGAGAGAAAATAGAGAAATGGGGAAGGTGAAACCTGGAGAAAATATTTTTTTTTTTTTCCTTCAAATTTTTATTTAAACTCTAGTTAACATATAGTGTAATATTGGTTTCAGGAGTAGAATTTAGTGATTCATCACTTATATATAACACCCAGTGCTCATAACAAGTGCCCTCCTGAATCCCCATCACCCATTTAGCCTGTCCCCCTGCCACCTCCCCTCTAGAAACCCTCAGTTTGTTCTCTATAGTTATGAGTCTCTTATGGTTCCCTCCCTCTCCTTTTTTCTCCTTCCTTTATGTTCATCTGTTTTGTTTCTTAAATTCCATGTATGAGTGAAGTCATATGGTATTTGTCTTTCTCTGACTCATTTATCTCACTTAGCATAATCTACTCTAGCTCCATCCATGTCATTGCAAGATTTCATTCTTTTTGATGGATGAGTAATATCCCATTGTGTATATATGACACCTCTTCTTTATCCATTCATCAGTTGATGGACATTTGGGCTCTTTCCATAATTTGGCTATTTTTGATAATGCTGCTGTCAACATTGGGGTGCATGTACCCCTTTGAATCAGTATTTTTGTAACCTTTGGGTAAATGCCTAGTAGTGCAATTGCTGGGTCATAGGGCAGTTCTGTTTTTAACTTTTTGAGGAATGTTTTCCAGAGTGGCTGCACCAGTTTGCATTCCCACCAACAGTGTAAGAGAGTTCCCCTTTCTCCACATCTTCGCTAACACCTGTTGTTTCTTGTGTTTTTAATTTTAGCCATTCTGACAGGTGTGCAGTGGTATCATGGTTTTGATTTGTATTTCCCTGATGATGGGTAATGTTGAGCATCTTTTCATGTGTCTGTTAGCCATCTGGATGTCTTCTTTGGAAAAATGTCTCTTCATGTCTTCTGCCCATTTCTTAAGTGGATTATTTGTTTTTTGGATGTCGAGCTTGATAAGTTCTCTGTAGATTTTGGTTACTAACCCTTTATCAGCCATGTCATTTGCAAATACCTTCTCCCTTTCCATAGATTGCCTTTTAGTTTTGTTGATTGTTTCCTTCACTGTGCAGAAGCTTTTTATCTTGATGAAGTCCCAATAGTTCATTTTTGCTTTTGTTTCACTCACTTCCAGCAACATGTCTAGTAAGAAGTTGCTACAGCTGAGGTCAAAGAGGTCGCTACCTATGTTCTTCTGTAGGATATTGATGGTTTCCTGTCTCACATTTAGGTCTTTCATTCATTTTGAGTTTATTTTTGTATATGGTGTAAGAAAGTGGTCCAGTTTCCGTTCTTCTGCATGTATCTGTCCAGTTTTTCCGCCACCATTTGTTGAAGAGACTGTTTTTGTTTTTTTTTTTCCATTGGCTATTCATTCCTGCTTTGTCGAAGATTAGTTGACCATATAGTTGTGGGTGAAAATCTTTACTTCTTAAACAACATTTTATATTGCTTTCCACATGGTGAAACACACCACCCATAATAGTTCAATTTGGAGTACATTGATAAAATATCATCAGGGTATCCCTGAATTAACCATTTACTCATATCTCATCTTTTAAAAAGTGAGAAAACCTATATGAAAGTGGCATTATAATCATGAAGATAAATATCCGAAATTGAACAATGTTAGAATAATCTTATCAAACTGTAGGTACTTAATGTAATATATTTAACAGCCCCCCCCCACCTATTAGGTCGCTAACTTTTGATTTTCATGAAACATTAATAAAATCTGTTTGATTTTAATGTTTATTGCCATTCATATATTTACGATAGATGTCTGCATTCATTTCTAATTTAGTATGTAAAATATTATATGAATGAGTGTAATTTAATTAGATATTACCTATTTTGAATATTGCATGGTGATACTCTACCTTGTAATAAACTATATAATTTTTGAGAATGAATATAACATTTACCTTTCTCATCTTTCATTTTATTTATCTCATTAGCTACGAAATCTTTCCAGCTTGGACCTACGTCATATCACTGAACTGGATAATGAAACCGTGATGGAAATTGTCAAAAGGTGCAAAAATCTTAGCTCTCTCAATCTCTGTCTGAACTGGATCATAAATGACAGGTAACCATTGTAACATCTTAAAAACACTTTTCCAGAGGGAAACGTATGTTCCATTGACCAATACTAATTATCATTATGACAAGGCATGTCAATTTTAGAAAATTTAATGTAGCCATGCCTTTTAAAATAGGTATGTTTAAGATTTGAAAGCCATCTAGCTGTATACTTTTCATCCATCCATTGCTCATATTTCTGACAAGGTTTTATGCACTTTGATTCAAATGCAATGATAACAACAGCAGTCTGTCGAATTTTTCTTTGTCACCCACCCAGGTATATTGCTTATTTGTCACTTTAATATTTTTGCAACTTTGTGGTTGATTTGCTGTTCACTTGTCAAGGAAAATGATTCTAAGAAACCATTTCAAACATGAGACGCATCAAGATCCTTTCTAAAGGATGATATTTTGTTCTTTGTATCAATATAGTTTGTTTTGGAAATGGAAGTCATATGATAGACAGTTTAACATATAGTGTAAAAATGTGTAAAATGGATAGTTTTCTTCTTATAAACAGTGATGAACCCATTTTTCTTTGAAATATTCCATGAAAGAAAAAAGATGAAAGAACCCTTGAGAGTAGACTTCTTTATAATGAAAACAAGCACAGAGTAGCACTATTTTCATTACTGTCGATTAACTGAGGTGGGTTCTGAAATACAGGCATGAGACAAGATGCTTGCACAGTGACTTTTAGGGGTGTTTTCTTTTTGAAGATAAGCCCCCCAAAATATTTTGCTTTCGAAATAGAAAGTAATATTTCAGCTGAAATTAGAACCTATTTAGATTTAAAGACTTTTTCATAAATGGGAGCAATGATTTATTAAGTTTGTGTCAGATAATGCTTTAAATTCAAAATACTTTCTCTTTCCTCTTTTAATTTCCTTTTGTACTTAAGATGAAAGCTATATGGACTCCATTTTCTCCAATTATGTTAAAGTTCTAGTGACACTTTCTTTTTTTTTTTTTTAAAGATTTTATTTATTTATTTGAGAGAGAGAATGAGATAGAGAGAGAGAGCATGAGACGGGGGAGGGTCAGAGGGAGAAGCAGACTCCCCGCCGAGCAGGGAACCCGATGCGGGACTCGATCCAGGGACTCCAGGATCATGACCTGAGCCGAAGGCAGTCGCTTAACCAACTGAGCCACCCAGGCGCCCCTCTAGTGACACTTTCTTAACTTGACCCACGTGACTCTTATGATTATATGATAGCCTTTGACTTGGCTCTTTCTTAGTAAAATTTCCTTGAAAAACTTTCTAATCTAGTCATATGGTCATCATTTATAAAAGGTGTTTATTGGCTTTGAGTAATAGTCATATAAAGTACATCGACAAAATCTACAGAGAATTGATAAAAATTAAAAAAATAAAATTTTTCTCTATAGTCAACATTCTTCTACAGTCGATTAGATGACAACTTAAAATAATCTTTTAAGCGTCTTTTGTAACATCTAATAAGATAAAGTGCATAAGGAAACATTATCCTATGGTGTTTTGCATTACTTTAATATTGAGATAAACCGCTTAGTAATGTATCAAATTAAAAGGAAAAAACTGTTTCTCCGACAAAATGAGTAAGAAAATGATTGCCTTTTATTCCACAACAGTTTTCTGTGTACTTGACATATGTAGAAGAATCAGTAATTAGAGAATACAGGGGTAAATAAGAAGTGGTCCATATATGATTAGAAGGGTTTTCTTCTAAGAAGTAAACATTTTGCTTAGGTTTATATCATTTAAATAGAGATATTTAGAGATTTCTAATCTTCTAGCTCTTCAAATGCTTATTTAGTCGTAAGTATTTACAAATGAGAAAGTGGGCAGCCCTCACTTTGTCTTTCCTTCCCTTTGTTAGGTGCCATGTATTCAAAGCTCTTGCTATTTCGATAATTCTTTCCTACTTAACTCTGATGGTTATTTGGTATTTGATCCTAAATATATGTACTGTAGAGATTTATTTGTGAGGAATGAAAGTGTATTTTTATGTTTTTAATGGAAAAGTTTGGATTAATTGAGAAAACATGCATTTTAATGAGGCTGAGCAGTAGAGTTTTAAAAATCAGACTCTTTTAGGTTTTAATTACACTCCTTGCACTTATCCTGTGTACTGTAATAGAAGTTTCAAACATTAAAACCCACTTTGCAGTATCATCTAAATTACTCATCTCATTGTTCTTGCCATACTCTATCACTAAGCTAAGTAATATTTGTAATTATATTGGTATAAATCTAGGACTTCCCATCAGACTTAATTATAATTTCAGCACTTAGCTGAGATGGGTTAGTCACCTTTCATATAGAGGGCACTGGAATGCACTAATGCATTTAGCCTATCAATTAGTGTGTTTTACATTTGTTCGTTATTCTTATCCTCTAGTAAATCAGGAAGCATTTATTAACCCTCTACTAAATACGTGGAACTGTGTCTCAGACTCTAGGACACTGAGTCCCTCCTGTTCTCAAAGGTGCTCTCTTGAGGTGACATAAGACTTAATGAGTGAGAGAATAGTGAGCCTTGGAAGGATAGAGGGGAGGAAAGTAACCTTTATTGCCCAGGTAATTGATAGGCACTTTACATGTGTTCTCTTTTAATCCTTTCAACATCTTTTGTTTAGTGGAAGGTCATACTATTCCTATTGAATGCAGACCGTTTGTATGACTTTTCTTTGGCTTTGCCAACAGATGTGTTTTTCCATCATTGCTGCCTGAAAAACTGGGGGAGGACAAACGAGAAAAAGCAAATGGTGGTTGATGGGTCACTTTTCGATTTCATAGTTGGGATTCACACATAACTAACATTTCTGTGTAAAATTCTTAGTTTTTAAAAGTAATGTCATTTTCTCTTTCATAATAAAAGTGTAAGAGGAACTTTAGATGTTATTTTATATATTGCACATATGAAAGGGATCAATGTTTAATGCTGCTGGCTTTGAGAAAGGATTCCTTGCACAAAGATAAACTTTGATAGTCAGATCTTTAGATATAAAACTTATCTTGGACTTTAAAAGTTCTTATCTGTAAACTTTCTTTTGAAGTTCAAAATTTTAAAATATGTAGTAATTGAAGGTCTTTAGTATTACACTCTTGGTATCTTTTAGCATTTTGTGGTTCTTGAAGTGATGTGTCTAAGACACGCTGTTCTTTATCTTTGTTTTTCTAAAAGCACGTTTTGTGTTTAGAGAGTTAAACAGCATGATATTTTCTTGTATTCAGAAGGATGGTCTAGTAGTCATTTGACATTTACCATTGCTTTTGAATACAAATAAAATCCAAGTGGTTTATGAAAAGAGGACACTGACTATTTCTATCAGTGACTTAAATTAAACATCTGGTTGTTATATCTTCTCTACTGTCTCTGACTCTAAGTTTATTGAAATGTTTATTTGTCTTTGATATAAATCTTTTGTTATTTCACATCCAATTTGGTCTTCATCGTTTTTGTATGTTTGGCACAGAGTTAGCCTGCTTTGGATGTAACAAGCTGATAATGTGAAAAACTGAATGGTTCTGAACATCTTTAGTGATAGACGTGTAATGGCTCTTTTGTTCTTTTTTGCCAAGAAGAATTAAATGAAATCTAATAGATCTTTACAAAAGCTATTTAAAAATTTTTAATTGGCGATCAAAGAAGGAATTAATCTCCCCATTTTCAGTTTTTAACATTAGTCCTGAGAAAAGTTGAATCACATGATCTATATACCCATTATCAAATACATGATCCATTCATTAACTGTTGACCATGCTTGCTAATGAATCAGGATAACAATTTAAGAGAAATGAAAATTTCTCTAGCATCCATCAGCTAATGTTACAAAACATAACAAATACCAGGCTGGTTGTTAAAATAGGTTATGTTGCCAACTAGTCGAACTTGCCTAGCTAGCGATTTATTCTTTGAATTTGCAGTAAAAAAAAAAAAAAAAATGAATGTATTAAACTGTTGAACATCAATAACTAAGGACACTTTCTTTAAAGAGTTAATTTTGTTGTGTGAATTTTATATGTATGTCAAGAGAGCTATTACATCAGTGGACATTCTAAAATTCGGAAAATTATAAATCTTAAACTATTGTGACCAGTTTCTTTCAAATATAAAATAGCATTTATAATATGTTGCCATTTCACTTTATATGTACTGGTGTTTGGAATAATAACTATGGGTATTTTCTCTTAAAATAAAGCTTTTTGATAAGACCAGTTGAAGTTGCAAACGTGTGGGCTACGGCGGAGTCCTGTCCATGAAACTATTTTGTTTGGCCTATGGAATATTTAAAAGTTGAAATAGTTGCAAACACTTTAAAAATTGGAATAGTTTGCATAAAATTCCGAAGTTGGGCTCCCTCTTGGAGAAGTTGCACATCTAGCAACACTGGACTCACATTCTTTCTAGGATGAGGAATGGGCTGTTCTCTCTGGCCATTCTCCAGTCCTTCACCATTGCTACCGGGCATGATACATTCTTTTGTATTATCTGTCTATTCCCAGTCTACAGACTGAATTCTCCTTTACCAAAATCAAGATTGTAGAGTTTTGTTTTGTTTTTTTTAGATATTTCTTATTTCAAACCGAAGAGTTCTCTTTAAATGGAGTCTGATAAAATATATTAACAGATAATAGTTAATTGGTCTACCTACATTAGTTCTTCATTATTTTAGACATCAGAACTTTGGCCAATGGGTTTAAGTTACAACAAGAAACGGAATTCAGCTTAAAATGAGTTAAAAACTTTATTTTCATCCACTGCCATCCAAAATGGACACCTCCACTTAGTGTTCAAGCAAGAGTGTTATCCAAAAGTCTCCTGAATTACAAAGAGAGCTGCTGGTTTATAAACTTCCCTCCAACTTCAAGGCTGTGATTTAAAATTATTTATTTATTTATTTAAAGTTATTTATTTATTTATTTGACAGAGAGAGAGACACGGCGAGAGAGGGAGCACAAGCAGGGGGAGTGGGGGAGGGAGAAGCAGACTTCCCACTGAGCAGGGAGATGGATGTGGA